TGAACATCTGTGCCAGAACGACCTAGGATGTTTGCGTAAAATGCAGAGTCCTGGTCCCTGCTCCAGAAATACTGAATTCCTAGGACTCAGCATTCTAATAGTTCTCACAACAGGTTACTACACACAGTAAGTTTTCAGCATAGCTGGTCTTGATACTAAAAATCTTGAAATACTGGGTTCGGTTAATTGGGCACTAAGAAAAAATAGTTTGAAGGGGAAGGAGAAAACCACGAATGTCAGTATACTCTTAATAGTTCCTCTCAAGTGGGATTTCAATGAGTCGCAGGGATCATCTCATTTGGGGCGGTTTGTCCTTATTTGAAACAGTCCGTAGAAGTGTGATGTTTTGATCACATATCTGCATCAAGCAGGCTCTGCAGGCCTGGCGTTGACATGGGGCGTGTTGTGAACACAGAAGCCCCAGCAAGGTTGTTCTGCTCTCACACTCGAGAGAGCACCGAGCTAGGCAGTGGGTGAACTTCAGTCAAGAACTGGTGTCTGCAAGTATTGGTGCTTCGGGCTGTCTTCAGAGGTTGCACTGGGAGTGAACTGAAATTGGAGGGGATCCTGGCTGTGTCTCTGGTCTCTTGGCTGGGGACTCATTAGGGCAGAGAATTGTTCCTGGACCCTCCAGGCATCTGGGGCCACTGTGGCACATTGGGTGTGGAAAGAAGAGCGCTTGTGGGGGTCCCACATCAGGGTCTCCCCACGGAATGCTGTATCATCTGAGGGGCACTGGCCTTTGGCTTGGTACCTGCAGTCAGATTATCTGCTGCAACACACGTTCCCGTCTGTGTGCTTGCTCGTAACAAGAAGTTTGCTGGCAGAGGGAAAATACAGGCACTTGCCTTGGGCTGTCCAGTCCAGTGGCTCCCAGGTTTCCCTTGGTTCTTCATCTTGTCTTTGGGCGGTGGCCTTATCTAAACAGAACAAAGTGATTTGGCAAGTGCTCAGAGAGCTCAGAGAGCTCAGAGGAGAGTGCTTACCTGGTGGTCGGATTTCAGTAGTTCGGGTGTTGACATTTATCAAATTACCCGGAGAACCGCCACCGCACCACCTTGATTCATGCCCGTAGAGAGTTCCTGACGAAGCCTCTTCAGAACAGTTTGTTTTTCTTAGTCATCATAATGTTCAAAGAGAAGTTGCTTATTGTTCGTTAAGTACATGCTTTATTCATCAGCAGGACTTACCACATTGCTTCCTCATGGATATACAAAGTCAAATAAAGACATGTAGCCGAATTCTGATGATATAGGCGGCCGCCACCGGAGTGTAGACATACTCGAGACAAACTGCCCTTTCTTCCCTCTGCCGGGGTGGCCCCAGAGAGTTTTCTTCCTTCGTTAGGAGGTAGCAAATCTCTAACTGCTGGTCTCTTACATTCCAAGTCTCGGTTACTCTATTTATTTCTTTGAGTGAGAGGAGTTAAATGTGGTTACTGTACTCATGGAGCATACAACTTGGGCTCGGAGGTAGTCAGGAAGGGTAAGTCCCTAAATTGTTGTAATGCCAAAGAAATATCTGATCACGTGCAGAATGCAAGAGTGCTAATCGTGGTGGCAGTTGGATGGAGTTGTTGAACTTGGCTGTGAGACTGGTCTTGAAACATGGGTACAGGTGGGACGAGAGCAGAGAAGATACAGGTGTAGGGTGTTATACATAAAGGCAAGAATGTGAGTAAAGACACAGAAGTGAGAACATAGAGGGCCTGTTTGGGACCCAGTAGAAAAGTGTTTAGGGTGGAGAAAAAGGGGGAACCAACAGGGAAGAAGCTGAGACCCCAAATTATTGAGGGCCCCTTAGACGTGCTATACGTGTTAGGTGTGTTATCCACTCATTTCGCTTATTATCCTTGCAACAAGCTGGGTAGACTGCGTTTGAGGCTGTGGTTCAGTGCAGAGCACGTACCACTTCCATCCTGTGATTCTGCTGGCACGTGACTGCCAAGGGGGCCCGCCGTTGCCCACGCCCCTTTGCATGTTGTAGGGGCCAGATGGTTGTGCATGCAACTTCCAGGCTAAAGTTGGAGAAGGTAGGGGAGCCCCTTCCGCCATGGACCACAGAAGGGAACAGGTTATAAACAAAGGACCATAAGATCCCGAGATAGAAAGAGCCACTGGGTAGAGGAGCCTGCGTCTTGCTCAGTAAGCAACTGGACTTCATGTAAATGAAATAAACTTGTAGTAGGCTATTGAGATGTGGAGAGGGATCTTTATGGCCACTAGAGTTACCTTAATCGATGCAGGAATTATAGGCTTACATAGTGCAGGTTCACAGATGTAACTTACTGAAAATCGCATCCATAATAAGCAGTAGAGGCGGGACATAAATCTGGAACCTGCGTGTCTCCAGAGCGATTCTTTGAAACTTTTATTCCCATGGATTAACTGCCATCTGCATGTTAACCGTATCGGTTCTCCATTGTGGGCCGAGGCCCCACCCTCATTTTGGAGGTCCAGCCTGGTAAAGATGGTTTCCAACTGGTTGCCCTTATCTGAAAGTCTGTATCCTTGGGACATAAAGTCTTTTACAGAGGCTCCAATATGCAATAGATTAAATAGAATTTTTTTGTTTTGGTTTTTTTTTTTTTTTTTTTGCTGTATGTTTCTGAAGGGACCCAAGTGGGAGGCTTGTCCTGGCGTGTCTGCTTCGCTGACCCTGCTGGTCCTTCCTGCAGTGCTTACCCACCATCCCCTACATTGGTTCATTTCCATAGTCAAAGCCAACCCAACTCCTGCTTATCTGAGAAGAAACCCAAGAGGAGCCGTTTCTTTTAAGGAAATGAGACAGAGGCTGCCCTCTCATTCCCAAGGACTCAGGTGGTCACGTGGTGGCTGGACAGTGTGGTCACTGGCTGGTAATGGAGTGCTCAGCGGAGAGGAAAGGAGGATTCCAGAGGATGACCATCGTTTGGGCACAGAGGCTTTTAGATACTAGACTCGGTGTCTTTCCAAACCCTCTCAGCCATCTTCCCACAGGGGCGTCTCCAGTTCGTGAGCACCCCACCCTCCCCGATGCCCAGGGACGAGGGCGGTATCCTTTGACTTTTTCTTTTACCTTCCACCCCGCTGCCAGCCATTTTTAGCTCTTAAGTGTCTTTGGAGACCGCCAGTCCACTAAATGCCCGGTGTTGCCCTGGGCTGGGCCTTCCTCGCCGCTCCTGCAGACTGTAGGGCGGCCGAGGTGCGGGTCACCCCGTCTCCAGGATGAGCCTGTCAAGGACACCCTTCACACGACCAGGAGTGATTTTCCTAAAATGCAAATCTGATGATCAGTTCCCTCCCTTTTTACAACCCTTCAGTGATTTCCCGTGGCAAATGTCCAAATTGCTATGCAGAGCACAAAAGGCCCTCTGTGGGTTAGTCCCTGAGCCTCTCCGGCCTCATTTCTGACACGTGACTGCTCCCCTCCCCCAAGTAGACTGCACCCACGGCTTCGGTCACACTGAGCTGTGTCTGACTGTCCCGTTTCTCTGTGTCTCTGCTTGTGTGTTCTTCTGCCCAAAGGGCGATTATGTGGTTTTTAAGATCGAATACAGCTGACACCTGTACTTCAGTGACGTTATCCTGACTCTTCTCCAAGCGAAGTTCATCCCTCTTGCCTTGTTATGTTTGATTTCTTCCATGAATTTCATTACGTATCTGTCCCTTTTAGCATTGGATGAAGCATTGGGTGTGATGAGCAGATACAGATCAGGTTCCTGCCCTTGTGGAGCTGAAAATCCAGGGGCAGAGTTGGGCATTAATCAAATATTCCCACAAACGTGAGATTACAGTTATGATAAATGCAGGGAGAAGAAGGGCACAGTGCTTAGCCCATGGTAGGAGAATTTGCCCTAATAACGGGGTGCGGGGCCGACTCTCACCAAGGAAGTACGCGTCAGTGGAGATGTGAAAGGTGAATTAACCAGGCCAGAAAAAGGAATCGTAGGCAAGGGTAACAGTGAGTACAGAAACTTCATCTAGGAGGGAATTTGGGCTTATGGGGTGGAGGGGAGTTTCCCTTCACACTATTAAGGTCCGAGAATGAGTCTGAAAAGTAAATGGACAGAAAAACAAAAGAAAATCACGCGAATGTACTTAATACAAGTTCTAGTGTGACATGGGAACCTTCCTAAGGAAATGCAGACCCGTGGAAATGGTTAAGCCTGAGCTCTTTTTTTTTTGGTAGGTGTGGTGGAGAATGGAAAGTCGTGGAAGGATGTGATAGGTCACAGAGCTGGAGCAGGGCAGTGACTGGGGAAGCCAAGCCAGGCCGGTTCCTATGCATCCTGCTGGGCGTCCCTGCGCCTTGCAGACAGGAATGTTCCTCCCCTCTGGGTACAGAGGGGCCCCTCTCACCGCAGGCTCTCATGACTGCTTCAGGGAGGCGGGTGGGGGCGGGTCAGAGGGCCCTTCCAGCTCCTTTAGCCTAAGAGACTCAGTGTGGCCAGGTATATGTCTGAGGGTGGCGAGTGCTGGACTCCCTCAGCATATATGAAGGGATTAAAGAAAGCCCAGGGTTGGGGGGGCCATGCAGTGGGGCAGGAGAAGTAAGTAAGGACCAGGCTCTGAAGAACCTCCTTAGGCACGTTAAGGAGCTTTTTCTTTATTCCAAGAGGCATGGAAAGCCGCTATAAGAAGATAGAGAAGATGTGACCAGGCCCTTTTTTTAAAACGATTTCATCTTGGCTGCCATGTTTGAGGGTCAGCCTAGTGGGTGACACTAGACTTGTTGGTTCAGGTAACAAATACTGATATGTTGCCTTCGGGTTGTTAACCCCAGAAATGAAATAGCTCCTATTTTGGATGAAATACGGTAGATATGAAAGAACGAGCTATCGAAGATGGCTTCGGGGACCCTGGGTGGCTAAGATAAGGAACCCTAGAAGACAATGACTTTGAAGAGAGTGCGAATGTTGAGGTGTCTTAGGGATATCTAGGAGGAGACACTCCACTGTGTAGTGCACGTATTTCTATTACTTCACACTCACCAGATGATGATTACCTTTGTGTAATAGAATGTGAGCTCCTCAAAGGAGTGGAACAGCATTTGTTTATGATCATTATTCATCTTGTTCATTTTTGTATCCCCAGTACCTATGGCTGTAATTTGCATATAATATTTGTCCAGGAAATGTGAATAAATGATCCAACTGAGCCCGAAGCCCACACACTTTCTCCCTTACCAGGAAGAAGGGCGAGAAAACGCTGGAAAGGTGAGCTGGGCGCAACTGTAGTGTTTTAAGTCCCTGGCTAGGACGTTCCATGAGGAAACACAATGTAATTAAAGCTTGAGTGCACATTACTTTCCAGTCCAACCTTCGTTTCAATGCTTCTGTCATTTTAACAACCATATGATGTTTACTCGGACATTCTCTCCTTTGTGAATCAAATCCAGCCAAGGTGCAGGGAAGCACAGGGATTGTATCCCCACAATGGGCCCCGCCTTCATGGTGCGGGATCAAGGGAAATGGGGATGAATGTCCGGGAAAAGGGCTGGCAGGTACCAAAGGAATATAGCGCGGCCTTTTCTTTTCTCACTGCTTTGCTTTTCTTCTGCTGTTGGAGGGGAGCGTTCAGTCATTAGGGCAGATTGAGGGCGGGGTTCAGGCATCTGTAGGGTCCACCGCCAGGTCATGTTCACCGCGTGGACGGGAAGGAGTCAGTGTCGAAGGGCCAGCGGTGCTGTTCAGAGTCAGTGAGAGAACAGGGTTTTGAATCTGCTGAATTCAGTCCTGGCCACACCAGCAGCCTCTATCTATGGTGAAAAAAGGTCTATCAGTGCCCTGTGCTGTGTTTGGGAGGCGGGGCCCTTAGAGTTGGCTCCTGCAAGACCTTGTTCGGATTCAGTTTGTGAACGGTGATGAATTGCGTGGCTTTAGTTTCAGAACCCAGACGGGGATGAGAGTTCTATTCTAATCCTGAAATTGAATCAGTTATCCCTTATTGGTTTATTCAAAGTTGTGTTTATAGGGGCCCACACCACACCTATCTTCCCCCCATGGGAAATATGCAGATAATGGAGTCCAGAGTGTGTGTTCGTTGCCTTTCACATGCGTGTGCGTGCAGGTGTGTGTCTGGGCATGTTCCTTCTCTTCCTTTGAAAGACCGTGTAATCCCTGTCTAACGAGAGCAGAGGGGATGGTGGTCGTCTCGGATGAGCCCACACTTCTTCGTGCACACCTTCACGAGGAACTAGAATCGAGTCACGTGACCGATGGCCCCATCAGATTGGTTTTAATGACTCGCTGTGGCAAGTATGACTAAATATTCCTGCAGACTCTGAGGCCTGTAGTGCAAAGGGTGGATCTGGAAGTTATCCAGTAATTTCAGGACACAGCCATGGCCGAGCTGCGTGTCGGTCTCAGAGCTTTCAGTGTTTGTGTTAAGAAGCTCAGCACAGCGGCTAAGAGCCCAGGGCCCAGAATCAAGTCTGCCTGGGTTCATTTCTTCCTCCAGACACTGGTGGTAGAGCCTGGGTCCTGGTACGGGGCCCTTTGTGTATCTCTTTCCCCACTTTTAGCATGAGGTTAGCAATGTACTCACTGCATAGTGTTGTTGGAAGAACTACAAGCATTAATATTGGTAAAATGCTTTGAAGAGGGCCTAGTGCATAGTAAGGGTTAAATAGTTTCCAGCTACTATAATTATATTAAGAAATGCTTAAGTTGTGGGCTTTAGAGAGACAAAGATAGATTTGTAAAAGCAGGGTCGGTGCACCTTTTGGTCACATGTAAAGAATTTTGAACTTTTTGGCAAAGCATTAACTATGCATCGTCTGCTTAACCTTTTAAACTGACTCATTTTCAAGACTGCTTTCTGTAAATATTCTCTAAAAATATTGCAAGTATCAAAAATTGTTCTAGAGAGTTGAAAATATGGGTGTCATTTAATGAAGGCTAAAGACTTCAAGACAATACAGTTCCATGGGAATAAGCCAGAGAGAATTTACTAGCCTGGATGCAGAAATAGGTTTGTTAACAGCTGTAAAAATATGAACTATTTATTGGGGGTTTACTATGTCACAGGAACTATTTTTAATTTTACTTCATTATTTAATTCCATTTAATTCTTTAAACATTTAATTTTATTTAATCCTCGAAAAATTCCTTGAAGCACTGTTATCTGTTTCTTTCGTATTACTAAACGGGTCCAGAGAGAGGGAATGTGGCTTTTCAAGATTCCAAAGTTGTCCCGTGCCTGAATCAGGATTTGGACCCAGTTATGACAGAGGGCAAAGCCAGCGTTTCTAACCTCTGGCTATATTTTTCCCTCTATGCTATCACTTGTAGTAGTAACTGTTATCAATATGACATTTAAAACAGTTTGGGTGCCCTGTAAGCTAAGCATTTTAAGTCTAAGTTGTACAGATAAGAAAACTGAGGTTTAGTGAAGTTGATTGATTTGCTCAGGATTATTTGATAATAGTATGTCCTATTCATAAGGCACCAAATTCCCTGATTTGTCCATAACCATCTAATACTAAATATTCTTGTGCATTCCAGACTTACCACTGGCCCAGGGGGATGGTATAGGGAGAGAAAGTCAATAGAACCACGTGTGGGAAGGAGGGTCACAGGTGGGCCAGCAGCAAGGATGTGACGAGAAAGCAGCCTGTAACCATCCGCACTCTCTCTGTACGTCAGAAAACATGAGACGTGGTTGCCGCATTCTCAGTGACACGATGATTATCTCCTTTTATTTTCTGGTTTTTGATTAATGATATCAACATTATAAGAGAGAATATCTAAGTTAGGCTTCAGTAAGAGTATTCTGACAGTACGGGTGTTAAAATACTAAAGAGATGAGAAACCGCTTTTCTATAAGTTCGTAATATATGATATTTCTGCTGCCTGTTACCATGTGATGTTGTAAATAAGTATCATCGGATCAAAGCACTCAGTTTTTGGATAAAAATAGTCCAATAGATACGACAGGAGTGAGTTCACTTCTTTAACCACATTGGGAAAATCACGGGTTGTTATTAGTTTGGTTTGAGTTAGTAGCAAATCATTATACTCGATTTGGGAACTTGCCAGCAAGGTGACAAGCAGAGTTAGGATCTGCCAGTGATTGCTGCTATCCGTGCTGTTGGCTTTGCACACTCCTCTCAAGATAATTAAGATATTTATACCTATAAAATGGAAAAGTGCCTATCTTAATCTATTTCATCTACAACACCTACAGAGAACCCAGACACTTTAACAGGCTGAGTGTGAGATCAGGATCTCAGAAAAATACACACATTAATAAATCTTTCACTCAGCTTTCTCTCCTCTCTGTATCCACTTAGACCAGAAATGACACTGAGAAATAGTCCACAGATGAGAAGCCAGCCTGTTGTAAATTCATTCATTCATTCATAAAATTTACAACAAGCAGCTCTTAAATATCAGACAATGTGCTGTGTAGTGAATGAAACAGACAAAAGTCTCTGGGCTAATGCAGCTCATATTATGGTGCACAATACAAGTAGGTAAATATAGAGGATACACTATCACCATAAGTCCTGTGAAAAAGAGACAAGGGAGGGGATAGGCAGTGTTTGGGAGACTGAAGTTCAGAACTGGTGGGCAGAGAAGGCATCCAAGAGAAAGTGACCTTTGACTTTGGATCTGGAAGGAGTGAGGAAGGCAGCCCCACGGAAGTCTGGGGGGGGAGCATTTCGGGAAGAGGGGGCAGCAAGTGCAGAAGGGCCACAGGAGGAGCACACCTGGCGTGGTTGCGGGACAGTGAAGCTGGAGCACAGAGAACGAGCGGACAAGTACTGGGAATTCCTCAGAGAGGTGATGAGGTCGGGGGGGTGCGTAGACCACGTGGGCCTTGTAAGTCCCCATCTGTGTGCCATGTCGTTGGGCATTTTGACTTCCTGTCATGCCCAAACCAGGTGGGTGGGGACCGATAGGGGGAAGCTGTCCTGAAACATGCATGAATGAGACTCTTCATTTCCACTGGTATTTATTGAACACCAGCCACATGGCATGCGCTGTGCTTATGCTGGAGGTTCCTAGAAGGAAGATAAATATATTCCCTTCAAGTTACTCAACCTGGCATGAGAGATAGACGAGGAGACACTTAAAGTGCTGTGCTCTGAACACAGAGCACACTTGGAGCAGACAAATAAAAGTATCAGGACTCTTCCGGCCCCACTTGGACAGGTGGTCTTCCTGAAAGGCTCCAGTGGACACAGCACTGACTCTGGCAGGTAGGACACTGAAGCCAGGGCCACCTGGGTAAAATTCAAGGCCAGATCCATGGGATGGCTGGGACACCGAAAAGTCACAGCAGAAATCAAGGTCAGTGACTCCCCGTGGTCAAGAGTATGCGAGGTTTGGAGGGTGAGGTCCAGAAGAGGCAAGTGGGCGATGGCTGGGCACTATGGCTCTGAGCAAGCAGAGGCCCTGTGAACCGGGAGGACTAAGGAGTAACAGGCAATCAACTGGTGAAAACCAAGGCGGTTTAAAGGTATTTCCTTAACATAGGGCGGTGGAGCAGTTTCAGCTTGCTCCGGTCAACTGGGAGTTACTTTTCAGAGTGCTATGCGGAGACCACGTTTGGTATGTGTATGGGCTACTGCGATGGAGGAGCAATATCTGCCTGGATGCCTGGGCTGGGTGGGGCTGGGGTTGGCCATCTGTGTGCCATGTCGTTGTCATCTGCGGCCAGTCTGATGAGGGGGAGGCTGGCCCATGGATTCTAGGACGTGGCCTTGAACATCTCTCTACTGAGTGACAAAGCAGGCTAGACCATGTGGCTTAGAATTTGACACTATTTGAACTGGGGTGATTTCTTCCTTGAAAGGCTGGGGTTCACCTTCCTTAACTTCAAGACCCTTTAAGGATATGGTGTGTTCCGGAAGCTAGAAATTAAACCCCTCCAGGTTCAGTAACCCCAAAGCTATTTATGAACTACGATCACTTTGCCACTAGCCTCCATGAATTTTTTGCCCCTTTATCCACTTGGGTTTTTTTTAAACGTTGTTAACATCACCTGTATCATCTCCCTGATTTTTTTCCTTGAACACTGGGTGACTTTGGACTTCCTTCCACGCGGGCACTGGCCACCTTGGCTGTGAGGGCTGGCGGGGTGAATGAAAGCAGCCTCCCACGTGACCGGGGGCAGGAGTGTTTCTGGTGGCGTGGTGCAACATGCAGTTTAAGGAAGGACTTGAGTAGATTTTCATACGGCACCTGGCAAGCGTGTCCCCCTTTACCACCATTAAAAATTGAGAATGTTTGCTATTTCCCAGGCGTCTTTGATGATACACCCAGAACTGCTGGTTGCTTCATCTAGTTCAGCCCAGAACCAGAGCAAGCAAAGACGTCTAAATGCACTTATTGTACGGAAAGCACCTGCAGCCCGTTGTGCTTGCCTGGGCTTGAGCTGGTCTCTGTGGGTGTTGGCAGGTGGGTGCGGACAGTGTAGAGTTCGTGGCCAAGTGTGTGTCGGGGTTTTGCTCAAAGCCGCCCTGCCCAGCGCCCCGAGTGGAAGGAAGCTTTGCTTCCTATGTCCTGTTCTCTTGGAATATTATTTTGACTGGTTTATAGACTAATTTCTGAGCACTTGGTTGGCGAAAGCAAGCTCGTGCTTCATCCTTGTTCAAAATCTCTCTGATGGGTATGGTCCTTGCCTTTTAAAAACCCCAGTTCATTTACAGGTAAGTTCATTTACAGGAATGGGCTGACAAATACCCGTAACTTTAACTTACGTGCCCATGCGCAGTCTGTGGTAAGTATATTATCATCGCGCTCATTTAAA